AACCTTTGAATCTTGAATCTTGAGATTGGGTCACCAGGTTCAAAAGAAAAAGAAAAATATGTCTGGTGGTGGTGGGTGGCCTCATGACTATTTCGAGGTGACTTGAGAGATGTATTGGCCACCCAGGTGTCCGTATCAGATCAGCTGTGCTACACTATTGATGCCCAAAGCTACAGAACACTTATCAGCATTATAAGTCACGCATCTGCTCCTCTGTATGTGTCCACCTGTGTGTAAGAGTCTGTGTTCCACTTCTCTCTATACACTTGAGTTTGGCATACCTGTCATGGTATGTTCATTCATTCATTCCCATAAAAGCTCAAATGTCCATGGACCTACTTTGCAGACGTTCTTTTTTTTTCTGGTCTCTGCATTGTTGATGAATATTTGCGAATAATCTTGAAAATCTGCTTCAAAAAGTTTATCCTGCAAATTCACCCAGTTGAGCTTTGATGAAGTTCTCTCTGCTCCGTCCCATTTGTGTTGGCGAAGGGCATCATGCACCTATTTTTAAGTCACTGTCATGTAGACTGACGACTGGATATAAAAATAAAAACGAGGTTAATTAAACAGGAAGGCAGTAACCCAAATATCACAAACACAAACAACAACCAACAACTGAAGGGTGAGACCGAGCAACTTAAATACAGGGTAAATGAGGGAATTAATGATTATCACCTGTGATGATAAATTAATGTCCATGATGAGAAGTGGGAAATTGAAACAAAGGAACACAGGAACTACCAAATACAAACTAGAAGTCCTTGAAACCAAAACTAAGAACAAACGTAACTGAATATGTGAAACATTCACCTTTAAATCAAAATCGACAATTCTAATATTTGTGTATTAGAATATTGCATTAATTATTATAAATAATTTATCTGTGCACATCATAATTTTTAAATCACATGCCCTAGTATAATTTAATCAAATTAATTTCCACTCCCCTCGACATCTCTTCTCTGATGACAGGTTTACTGGCATCTTTGACAATTTGATAATAAACCCTTGTGTCTCCTACAGAAAATTCAACACTGGAGTGAAACAGATTTTAAAGGGGTCATGACATGGATAAAGTTTTTTTTCCACAAATAACAAACAAATATATATGCCAAAAAAACTATTATTTTCGGCCTTCATGCTGACCATCTGTCTGAAATGATACGTTTTTAAGGGGCGGCTCCTTTAAGGCCTGTCAGTAAACGGCCACTGTTATGATTGGCTAATGTCACTGAACAGGAAACAGTATCAACGCCCATTAGCTATTGCATATGAGTAAATGTTTTGAAAGCCATATACATCCGTCATTTACAGACAAAGCATTGTGAAAGTTTATGATTCAGCTGCTGTAAGATCCAATACAGCTGAGTTGACTGCTTCATTCTTCAACAAAAGATTCTTTGTGAACTCTCCATTGCACTTTGCCTCGTTTACAAAACAAAATGCTCCGAACAAACATATAATCCTGCGATGTGGGACACCATTACAATAAACCATCCACTTGTTCCTGACGCTGGGATCCTTCTGAAGTCTGTACAGAGACGCAAACAAGCCGTTTAAACTGGACACGGCAAAGCGAACACTCTTTCACTTGTCCTTTCACAGATGCGTGACTCTTGTCGACAGAATCAAGCATGTCAGAAACTGAACACGCATCTGTATACTGTATCCAGTTTAGACAGCATCAGTGATTATAATGGGTTCTACTTGCTTTTTACGTGACGCTCAAATCTGTTTTTTACGTGTCAGCTGTTAAAGGTGCAATGTGTAAAAATTTTGAGTATCTATTAACAGAAATGCAATATGACATCCATAACTATGTGTTCAGTGGTATATAAAGAACTTACTTAATAAACCGTAATGTTTTTATTACCTTAGAATGAGGCATTTATATCTCCATAACCGCGGGCACCCCCTTCTATGAAGGTCTACCGTAGCCGGCAGCGAACAAACAGCGCTACAGAGCGCGTTTCGTCACTACATTGAAAGAGAAGCAGCAGAAAGCTAGAAGCTAGCCATAAACACCGTGAGTAGTGACTTTTCCCTTGTCAGTGGTGTAATCCAACTAAAATATGTTGGATTGTTTCATGTTACTCAGTTCTTCTCCCTCGCTGTGTTATGGCTTTGCTATGTGGGGATAAATGTGCTGGTTACATTCGTGAGACAGCTGATTAGTACTCTTGTCATTGACCGTAAAACTGTATGTTACAGGAATCACCAACCCGTCGATCGCGGTCGACAAGTCGATCTTGGAAGCATTTTAAGTCAATCGAGTTTCCAAAATCAGAGAAAAAAAGCCTATTGTGTGTAGTAAATGATGTCTAGGGGATGCAGAGGCGCGCGCGCTGTTACAATCACGTCATTTTTGCCGCGCGCACCTTTGGGCTCATGCGGACGCGTCCAGTATAAACAAGGCTTTAGCCTTTAACCAGCTCAGCCACAGTAACAGCTCATATTAGCCAGCTAAACTTTTGCTACCCTGTTAGAAAAAACTATGTAGTTGGATAGTTTCATGTGGTTCTTCTCCCTCGCTGTATTATGGGTTTGCTATGTGGGGAGAAATGTGCTGGTTACGTTCGTGAGACAATCAGCTGATTACTATGATTATATTATATATTAAGACCCTTCATCCTCACCTGACTATGGCTTTGTAAACTTTATCCATGATGTGGTTTATAATGGACTGTGGTACAGAAACTTGGTTTACTCTGGCTATTCTCTGCTGTCTCAAACGATGATATGTTTGTCCCGTTTTAGCCACCGTAGCTTCTTCGAAAGGGAGGGGTGAGCAGTGGGCTGAGCCCTTAGTGCAAACTCGCAACCGAACCGCTAGATGTCGCTAAAAATCACACACTGCACCTTTAAGCAATGATGTTCATCAATTACATTTATGCTCATTTGGCAGACACTTTTATCTAAAGTGACTTACATTACATTTCAAGATAGACATTTTTACATTCTTATCAGTTCTTGCTTTCCTTGGGAATCGAACCCATGACCTTGGCGTTTCAAGCGCCAATGCTCTACTGTTTGAGCTAAAGGAAAGAGCTGTTTTTGGAGCTTGATTAAATAAATGGGTTTTTTTTGAGGCATTGAGGAGGACATTTTAACCCTTTGATGCACAACATGGGTCTAAATAGACCCGACTGAGTTTTCATTTTCTATATCTTTGCAAGAAATTAATTTCATCATTTAGTATTCCAGGTATTCCTCAATTAACTCGTTTTAGATCATTACAAATCCTTATTTAAATTTTTCCTTTCTTACTTTTCGAATAAAAATCGTTTTTGTTTCACTACCCTTCTAATGCGCAACATGGGTCTAAAAAGACCCGTATTCATATTTCTTTGCTGAATATTTGAAAGAAATGTATTTTATCATTTATTAATCCAGGTATTCATTAAATATCTTGTTTTTGATTTCCACAAATCATTATTTTTATTTTTCCTTTATTACTTTATAAACAAACACGGTTTTTGTATTTCTACATCAATTTTACACACATGGGTCAAAAATGACCCATATAGGAACCTTTGATATTTATAAATAGTATAAATATAATTACTGCAGAAAACTATTCACCTGCCACACATTTCACAACTCAACACGGCTGTTTTTGTATATTTCATGCATTATTTAATACATTTTTTGTCACAGAAAATATTTGATATTTTGTGAAAGACATCTAGATATAGCCTAAAATTTGAACGTTTAGGCTAAGCTTACCTTGACCTTGAAATCCATTACTAGTGCAAAAGAGAAACATGTCCAATACTATTAGCTAGCTTGCGGTCGACATATTTTATTTTATCTAATGTTAGCTAGGTCAACAAAATAAAAGTTGCAATAGAAAGTTATATATACAAGTATATATTGGCGGTATTGGGCCGAAACCTTACCTGGGCAGTACCTCCTCCATATTAATTTTTATTTGTGGTCATAAATCAATGCTATCGGTCACATAAGCCGTCGTGTGGTGGCGTTCTGGTGCACTATGGGTGCTGTCGCATCATCCGGGTGGATGCTGCACATTGGTGGCGGGGAGATCCCCCTACCGATCACACTACACTACAGTTCAATTTCAGTGTTATCGGTTATATGTGTGTTATGCGTGACAAAGTGGCCGATAAACATATTTCAAGTGTTACAGTAAATGTGTTGATCTAAACAACTGTGACAATGGTTATTTTTACAAAAAGTTTTCTTTATTCTTTTGTTTTATCACGCTTGCATAGATGGGTCATTTTAGACCCATGTGTGTAAACTTGATGTATTTACACAAAACCTAGGAAATATTCAAATATGAATTTGTGATAATTGAAAACAAGATATTTTGAATATTCATAAATCATGAAATTTATAGATCATGAAATATAAAATGCTCAAATAAAGTGATATCAAAAGGTGAAACAAAAAAATGCCGAGCCATGCATGAAATAACATAGGAAATGAATACGGGTCTTTTTAGACCCATGTTGTGCATTAGAGGGGGTATCCATAGCTTGTGCATCAAAGGGTTAAACTATAAGACTTGCAGGCCCAGGGTGTTTTAATGATACCTCAAATATTTCAAATCATCAAGGCAAATTTGATTTCTCATGTCAGGAACCCTTTAAAATAGGCATCATACACTTGCTGTTTTTGTAGTTAAACATTAAAAAATAAAGTAATTTTGTCAACTCCGACTGCCAAAATCTGCAGAGCGGCTTTGACTTTTGGCAGCTATAGTGTTGTCGACTCTAGACCGAAACGGTGCAAAAATCTCATCAAACAATGTGTAGTGTATTCCACGCCTTTAATCTGTTAATTCTTATGAATTCATATGATCTCATTTGTACATTTTCGTATGATCTGCTTACCCCTCACTGACCGTTAGGGCTACTTACTTTTTTCCTAAAAATCACATGTTTTTATACAAATCAAATTATTTGTCACAATCTCAATCTCTCAATAATTTGTGTTTAAAGCTACCGCTGGTTTATCTGTCTTCCTCTCAGGGTCAGAAGGGGTTTCCTGGTTTGGATGGTGTAATGGGAGTTCAGGGGCATCGAGGAAAGGAAGGCCCTCCTGGACTTCCTGGTCCAATTGTATGTAACATACGGCTGCTTTACAAGCACACAGTTTCAAATGTATAAAATATAACGTTCTAAATCTTACACATGCTTTTAGAGGAACAATATAGAATTTCTCCTCTATTTCCTCTCCGGTGCTTATGGAGTTTTTCGTTCTTTGCCACTCACCTAGACCAATATATTAAGGCATAACTGTTAAATGATGACCTTATAGAATTTAAGACATTGTTACTGCAATATTTTTGTGTAAGTCCATTGTGAAATTTGCTATATAACTAAAATTAGCTTGACTTTACATTATAACATGTTGCCATATTCTTATACTGAGATTGAGGGTATCTTTTCGATATTCAACAACATATAAACAGATTGATTGTTGTATAGACTCTGTATTAGAGTACTGATTAATGTTGATAAAATGTATAATTTTTTTTTTTTTTTTTATCACACAGGGAAACATGGGACGTACAGGCATGCGCGGACATAAAGGTTCTAGGGTACGGAGTGTGTGAGTGTGTTAATATATTTCCGGTGACACTTGCAGTATAATTGAACACTAGCAAATCTCTCTCTCGTTCTCATTCTCTCAATAAGGGAACTTCAGGGACGCCAGGATTCTTTGGCCCACCGGGACTACCGGTAAGTTTTGAGAATAGTTTTTGAGAGCTTATTGCTTAATAACTTGAATTAGAGTGTATATATCCATTTCTGGCCAAAATGCTTAAAAGAGGAAACCATATGCTACTTATGTCATAAAAGTTACTTTTTTATGACGTCATCATTGCTGCTTTGCAAATATATACAGAGAATATAATTTTGTAAGTATCATGTTCTCCTCTTTTAGGGGCTCCCTGGGAAAGAGGGGCCGAGGGGGCATCCTGGTCTCCCAGGATGCAATGGAACAAAGGTAATCCAGAAGAATAGATCATTTGTGAATGAGTAGTTATTACTTTAACCACACTAAAGCCCACCAACTGTCACCATACTAAAGGTCAGTGTCAAAAAAATTTTGTTGTATTTTTCAGGGTGAGCCTGGTCCCCCAGGCTTTATAGGCCAGATGGGACGTCCTGGACGGCAGGTGAGTTCTGAAAATGAGTATAATATCAGATAATATTAATATACCGTTGGCTGAGATAGCAAAGTGAACCCAGTTGCAGTGCTTTATTTTGGGAAATAAAAAACAAAAGTTCTTTGAGGTGGGAATGAGGATACAAAACACATAAATGTTTAACATCCCAAATCACATATTGTCTGAGTAGGTACTACATTTGAATTGAACTTACTTCGCGACCGTTATAAAAGTCTTCGAATGCACACCTCAGAATCTAAGCAGAAATAGCAGATCATCTGGGGACTTCTTGCCTACCGTTTTTCGAATACTATGTATTCTGACATACTAATATTTTGCCGTACTGTTCTTCATATTGTTAAGATTTGGTGTTGGTGGAGTGACAGCATTCAGCAGAGAGTGTGAGAATCCAAAAGCAGTTTATTGACAATCATAATCCAAGGTCATAGTCCATACCAGACAGAAGGTCAAGCACAGCACATGCAATCAGTCCAAACACACATACAATCCATGAAGGGCAAACAGGAACGAGGAATCCAAGACTCATAAAGAAAATGCTGACAGAGAGCGTGAACCAAAACAAACAAACAAGACTTTATAATGAATGCGGGGGAAAAGGCATTTAAATAGACAGGGTAATGAACTAAGAAAACAAGACACAGCTGAAACAGGTAAACTAATAATGAGCGGAGAGTTCTGGGAAATGAAGCCTGGGGATAACAGAGTTCATGGTGACAGTGAGGCTGCCATCTGCTGGTACTTAAGGGTACCGCAGCTGACAGATGTAACACATACAATATATAGTAGGAAAGTAAACGATTTCGGAGGCAGCGTAAGACCTAATAAATAACTAAACATTGTGGCTTAAAGGAGCTGTATGTAAGAAATGTTTTTCAATTAATCATAAAATGGCCCTGATGTGTCTCTAGACATTAAAGGAGCTGTATGTAAGATTGTGGCCAAAACTAGTACTGCAATCACTTTCAAATTACTGTAGAGTGGTGTATCCCCTCCCCCTCCTCCCTGACTCGAGGTTGCCAGATCGGCTGCAGGATCCAGCAGGAACGTGACGAGCTGCAGAAGTGGTAACTAGAGCAGAGCTGGCAACCCGGATGCCGCAACACTACTGACTTCGTGATTGGTAGATAGGTGGAGGGTGGAGCATCAGACCAAAACACAACATGACAACATCAACATCAGTTGAGGGCTGCAACTTCACTTTTTAAATGACAATATCCTGGCCAGACTACTGTTGTCAGTGATATGAGTATTTGAAATGTACATGATTTCTTAATGTCTAGTGACATTTCAGGGCCATTTTATGATTAATTGAAATAAATTTCTTACATACAGCTCCTTTAAGAAATCATGTTCATTTCAAATACTTATATCACTGACAACAGAAGTATGGCCACGATATTGTCATTTAAAAAGTGAAGTTGCAGCCCTCAACTGATGTTGATGTTGTCATCTTGTGTTTTGGCCTGAAGCCCCACCCTCCACCTATCTACCAATCACGAAGTCAGTAGTGTTTCGGCATCCGGGTTGCCAGCTCTGCTCTAGTTGAAAGCTCCTTGTAGCAGCCTACGTTCCTGCTGGATCCTGCAGCCTATCTGGCAACCTCGAGTCAGGGGGGAGGGGGAGGGGATGCACCGCTCTACAGTAATTTGAAAGTGATTGCAGTACCAGTTTTGGCCACAATCTTACATACAGCTCCTTTAAACTAAAAGAGCAACAGGTGTACAAAGGCTCTATTACTATTTTTACCAAAATAAAAATAATAATTTGTTATATTATTATTATAGCAGAAAAAGTAAACCAAATAATATATTTATTTGTTTATATTTATTTTATATTAAATACATTTGCATATGCAGGAAACAGGAACAGGAAAAATGTTTCATAATTTCACAATTTCATAATAAAAGTACCTTAATCAACAAGTATAATCAACATGAAAATATGAAGATGCAATCAATATATGTGTACATTTTCGTGTTATATTTATGTTTTAATCATAACATTCAATGCACAACATATAATTCACAATGTATTAGAACATTCTGAAACCTCCACCTAAGTGGCACACAGAAAGACAGATGTCGGTATGAACCTCATAAAATGAAAAAAAGTAAATGCTCTTGTTTTTCTGCAATGTGTAAGTCTCATTTGAGCCTTACTCTGATTAAGGCTGCTAATTTAAACCACAAATTTGTTGTTGTTATTGTTGTTGTTGTATTTAGGGAGGACCAGGAATCCAAGGACCTAAGGTGTGTTGTATTCGATTAACTTCAGTCCTTTAGGAATTGTTAGCTTAATTGCTCATTTAACATAAAATGCTCACACATGTACAGTATTATAATATTATGATGACCTTAAATTATTTTTTAGGGAGATAGCTATGTCTTTCCACCCTCCGAACAAGTGAAAGGAATGTGTGGTCCTCGAGGCAGAGATGGAGATAAAGTAAGAAAATTCAAAAAGTGAAAAATTCAGATTGAACATTTTGGCAAGCACTTTGTTTATTACTTTATGTATCTTTAATGTAATTCCATATTGTTGTATTCTGTGTCAGTATTTTGACTGAGATTCTGTGGTTGTGGATCTACAGGGTCCACTAGGATTGCCAGGATTTCCAGGACCAGAGGGACCAGAGGGGCCTAGAGGTCCACCAGTAAGTTGTCCAGTGCTTTTATATCCTCTCATTATGATTAATATCATGATTACATTATTGTTGTATTGATTTAACTCTTTAATTATTTTTTAGGGAATAGAAGGCATTCCTGGATTACAAGGAGAGAAGGTTAGTTCTGATTAGCTTAATATGATAAAATCGGGTATTCTTCATTTTCCTCATTCTGCTCCGCTTGCACACAGTTGAGTGTGCAAGCCTTTCGAAGTATACTTCTTTGGCCGTGAGTACGTGCAGAATCTCTATTGGACTTTGTTTTCAAGCACTCAATTTACTCGCACATGCTCTGTTGTATGCGCACCGTCCGCGCGGGCCGTGTGTACGAGCGTCCACGAACCCTCCTGATGATGAAACCGCTGGTCCTCTGCGTAACGTGGATGACCGAAGCACTTTGGGCTTTAGTATGTATGTTTGTATGTGTAACATTTTTGCGTTACATATAGGGTCGAGAGGGTCGAATCATGGGAACACCTGGACCCATAGGTCAAAAGGTCAGTATTTTCATCGTTACTTTTTATCGAGCTTTTGCTTACCCTTACAAAACAAGCATGTCTGACACTTACAGTATGTGAATGTGTAGGGTAAACCAGATGAATAATCTGATTTAAATTGAATAATGCTCTCTATTAACTGATTATATAAACTCTAAAATGCATTACGGGGCTCTTTTTGTAGGGGGAGAGAGGACCACCTGGTGTACCAGGACAAAAAGGTGTAAAGTTATTTGTATCAGGACCAAAGGAGCCTAAGGTAACATTTCCCATAAAAGTAATTCATTGGAGTTTTATTTATTTATGTATTTCAAAATCCAGTTTTACACTGTAATACAAATGAATGATTTGAGTTTTGTGAAAAATCACTCTCTTTTTGGTTTCAGGGTGACAGTGGGGATTTTGGAGACATTGGATGCCCTGGGTCATTTGTGAGTAAACAAGGCCACTTTTTAAAAGTTCTTTTTATTCTTCTGCTGTTTAAATCGTTTATTCCATTGGGATTGCTTTAAGTTACTTCATCATTCATAAAGCCCGACTGCTGTATTCTGCAGGGTCTTCGTGGTCGTCCTGGTCCTACGGGGAAGAAAGGGGAAAGCGGAGAGCCTGGGGCTCCGGTAAATAACTAAATAAAGAGAGAGAGAGAGACAATGGAGACTCATTCTCTCCCAATTTGTCCTTAAACTTATTCTCATCAAGGTCAAATGTTTGGCATCAAACAAGATTTAAAAATATATGTTTAAAATATCACACTGCAATAATCATTTTATATATATTGATATATATATATATATATATTAACAATTTGTAATTATGTATTGATTTTTTTAGGGGAAACCTGGAAAGGAGGGGCTGCAAGGAGAGTTGGGCCCTAAGGTAAGCATGAAATATTTTACAGTGGCCCATCCAAAAAGCTTTTGGTTTTTAAAGGGGTCATGACATGGATTTTTTATCTTAATATGTTCTTTGTGGTTCAATTTTAGGTTTTGAGGTTTTTTTTTGCATACTAAAAAAACTAATATGCAGGAAAATGATTATTCTCAACCTTCATTTTGACCCTCTGTCTCAAATGATCAGTTTTTAAAGGACAAGCTCCTTTAAGGCTTGTCAGTAAATGGCCCCTGTTATGATTGGCTAACTGCTTATTAAACAAGATGTGTCAAAGCTAACATTCTTTTTCCTCTTTGTCCTGTTGTCGTGTGAAGTGCTTGGAGTATGTCAGAAATTGAATGGGTATCTGTACTGTATTTAGTGTAAACAGTGACAGTGATTATATCGGGTTCTATTTGCTTTTGTATAGACAGATGTTATCCGTTGAAGTCAATCCATAGTCACCATGAAATCAAAATGGACAATTCTTCTTATTCTTTTTTTTATTATGGAGTATTGCAGCTTTTATTATAAATGTTTTATCTATGCACATTATTTCTTTTTTTAAAATTAATAATCATATTCTTTAATCAAAATAACACCCCCTCCTTCTTCCAGCACAGACTGTCTCTCACATGAGATCACAGCAATAGCAAACCACAATTCAATTCCAGATGGACAAAATCAAGTCCTGCCCGATTTTTACTTAAGTAAAAGTACAGAAGTACTTGATTTTAAACATACCTGAGTATCAAAAGTAAAAAGTAAAAGTCAATGCATTGTTGTTTTATTATTGTTGCATTGTTACAGCACCTTATGTCGATTAATAGATATTTATTATGACCAAGATTTTTGTTTTTTCTTCCTAGGGAGTGCCTGGAGATGTAGGATATCAAGGAGCTACTGGGATAGCAGGGGAAATGGTATCTATCTGTCTGTCTGTTCTTGTGCAGTCATGTGCTATACACCATGTAGAGTTCGGTTTTACTTTGGTTGGCAAGCCAAACTGACGAAAAAATATAGTTGGCCATTTTAAGTGCAGTTGAATCGTGCCCTCTAATGAGTGGACTTTTTAAATGGAATCTCAATCTTTCTTTAAAATCTTTATACTTGAATTCATTAATCTGTTTCTTTGTTTGTGTCTTCAGGGTTTGAAGGGTGACCCCGGTGCCCCTGGGGTCCCTGGAGAGGTAGTGAAACTTTCACTTATGGCAATCTCTAGATGTTTAATCTCTCTTTAATCACGTCATATTGCCTGTGGCAATGAAACTCAATAAAGAGTTATTAGCTGATGAAGTAATAATAATATCTGTCTCTTTAAATTTAAAAAGGAATTCATATTTTTGTACCTTATTGATGAAGTGTTATTTAAATTTGTGTTTTAGTTTGTTATAATTGATACGGAGATCAAAGGTCAAAAAGGTATTCCTGGGCCACCAGGACCTCCTGGTCTACAAGGCAGTGAAGGTTAGTAATCAAATTTATTAAAACTACTTTCATTCAAAGACAACCAACAAAACCAGCTAAATATGCCATAAACTGGTTTTCTTTCATTGATAAAAAGTGGCAGTACAGACATGTATAATGTCATTTTTTTATTTTTTTAAAGCAGCCGAAAAAATTTATCACGATTTTCACAAAAATATTAAGCAGCACAACTGTTTTCAACATTGATAATAATAATAAATGTTTCTTGAGCAGCAAATCAGCATATTAGAAAGATTTCTGGAGGATCATGTGACACTGAAGGCTGGAGTAATGATGCTGAAAACTCAGCTTTGACATCACAGGAATGAAATACATTTGAAAATATATTAAAATAGAAAACTGGTATTTTAAATAATAAAGCTATTTCACAATATTTCAGTTTTACTGTATTTTTAATCAAATGAATGCAGCCTTGTTGAGCATAATTCATGTTTAAAAAACAAAACAAAAAATCAACTCTGAACTTTCGAATGACATTGTATGTAATAATTAATAATAATTATTCTTATTTTATTGAGCCAAAGTATATAACCAAATGTTGTTATCTCTGGTATCTTCTTTAAAGGTTTCAATGGTTTTCCTGGACCTCCAGGTCCTCCAGGTAATTGATGTATCTCTCACAATATACACATCACAAATATACACATCACAAATGCTAACTTTCTCTTTTCTCAAATATGTCAGGGATCGGCCTACCAGGACCTAATGGAAAACTAGGTCCCCCAGGGTTTAGAGGTGTGAAAGGGGGAAAAGGAGAACCTGCACCTGACATCAGAGGACCCAAAGGACTTGATGGCCAACCAGGGGAACAAGGACCCCCTGGTGACCCTGGACCTCCAGGAACTCCACGTAACTTTGTCAAAGACTGCCATCTTCAGTTTATTTGATTTACCAAGCTTGACTGTTGTGCATGACTGTTTGACATGACACTGTTTGTGTGCTCCTCTCCTGCATCCCCAGAAGTCAAAGGTCGCTTGGGACCAAAAGGGCTCAAGGGTGACAAAGGCCTAACAGGCCCTGAGGGTCGATATGGAGATCCTGGAAAACCAGGTGAGATTCACTCTTTTCATGGTGTATGTTAAAAATAAATATTTCAGGTTCAATGGTTAAATTAAGCTCATTACTACTGAACAACTTCGATTAATTATTTGCAATGTCTTTCCCCATAATAATTATTTTCTAAGGTAAATGGCATGCCACAAATGTTGCCCATATAGTTGGACCCAAAACATTCCTTTGAATAAAGTGTATGTTACATATTAAAGTAACAACAGGTAACTTTTCAGCCTTCATAATATATTTCCAAGTCTCTTGTGATGGTACATCGACTTACAATAGGTTGAATGACACGTCTGCCATAGCCTGACGGGGTCTGTAGGGTTTTTAATCGTACTTTTAAACTTCGGGTTTCGGGTAGTAACCGGCGAACAAAGAGAACTACAAAATTCGACTGCTTTACGGCATATACGTCACTTCCACCACCACCCCCACTTCCTTAAAATCGGACTTGCGAGCCAAATGTTATAGTCATGGCCGAAGCAGCACAGAAAAACAAGAAAGCAAAGGTTTTATCGGAGCAAAGCAAAAAGAGAAAAAGAGAAAGTGATCGCGTTAAAGGCAGAACGAGGATCAACATTGCAGAGCTGCCAACTCTCACGCATTGGCCGTGAGACACCCGCATTTAATTGGTTTCACACGCTCACACGCCACACCCCCGGTTTCTCACGCTAAAATCTAGGAATCTAGAGCGAGCGCGCACGCGAGACAGAGACTGTGCTCCAACGCGCGCGGACGGCAGAGAGAGAAAGCGAGCGAGAGACCTTGCGTGTGCAGGGAGCATCGAACCCCCCATCGAAAAAAGAATGTATCTCTCTAACCTCTCTAATTCGCTAGAGTAGTAGCGAATTATCAATCTGGTAGCTAGTAAACGATATTCTAGTTTTTGATGGTTAGCTATCGCTAGTATTCTCGTTCTGATTTGAACTTTGCAATCGATGAAATGCAAATAGCAAATGTTTGACCTAAAAAGTGTAGTCTACTCAACATGTACAAAGAAAGGAGGAAGATTATTAATAAAATCATATTTTAGGATACCTAACATGTCTGTGATATTTGTTTATTTGTCTTGCCTCAAGCTATAATGCAAATCGATTTGTAAAATTTGCAGATTCATTTATGGTAGCTTGATATTATAATATTGACGATATATGGTTATTATCAACCACTCAAACATTGCATTGAAGTATCATATAGATTCAGTAAAACGGTAACCAATAGACTAGGCTACTATAATGACGCTGGCTTGTAAACGCGATCATTTGTCGTTATACAAAAAATAAAACAAATGAAATTATATTCATATGACATGCTGAAATATATGCCACTGTACCTGGGATGAAGACATTTCACACACGCGAGAACACCTGCATGTGACCTCCTCCTACAGTGTTCAGGGCTATCATGGTTGTCAACAAATGCACGTGCATGTAGGATGACAGTTTACGACAGTAGTAGAGGACAATACTGTTTTCCAACTGTAGGGGGAGCCCGAGAGCAAAAAACTACCTGTTGTTACTTTAATGCATACAGTACAACCAGTAAACATGCTAGTCACCTGTTCACAATGCTGTTTTCCGTGATTCTAATACAGGAGAGCAAGGAGAACTTTGCAGACTGTGTGCTGCTTCTGCTGCTGACCCTGGACCTCCAGGACCACCTGGAGTTTCAGGAGAACCTGGAGATCCAGGTGAAGTCATTATGCAACATCTTTACAACATCTATAACACTCTATGAGGAAACCTCCTATGGTGCATCCATATTGGTGCATATCTGCTTTAAAGCACTTTTTTATTTAATTGATTTGGTTTGGTTTCAGTAACAGACCTCAAAAATTCAATTTCTTTGTGCAGGTCTTGGAGGAGTTCAAGGCAATAAAGGATTCCGAGGCATCAAAGGTCCAGAGGGTCCACCGGGTCCTCCGGTCAGTTTTAACTGCAGACTGCCACTAAACCCAATCATCATCCTCATAACTCAGCAAAAACTATCATTTGTCCACTCCCATTATGCAGTTGGTATTGCAAATAAAGGTTTCATATTCTCAAAAACAATTGTTTATGATGTGAATTAAAATCTTTTCACAGGGTTTCTTAGGTCCTCCAGGATTTACAGGGCCTCCAGGGCCCAAAGGAGATCTAGTGATGATATCTGAGATTGGGGAGAAAGGACAGAAAGGAAACTCTGGTGGAGTAGGACCATTGGGGATAAAGGGGCAAGATGGTATGCCGGGCACCCCAGGCTTCAAAGGACCATCAGGAGCAAAAGGAAACCCAGTTAGTACTTGGAACTTGTTGTAACCATAAACTTTGAGATAACTGCTATAATGTTGGTCTAAATTTGTGTAACCAATTTTAAAGCCACAAGTTTGGATGTTGACAGAACTTGAAACTGACTTTTTCCAGAGTCCTCCAGGGCCTAAGGGCAACCAAGGAGATCCAGGGATTTGTGGAGACCCTGGCTGCACAGGTCCAATGGGCAGCCAAGGGTCAATGGGTGTCGGGCAACCAGGAGCACCTGGAGAGAAAGGAAGTTTGGGAGTAGTGGGCCGGCAAGGAAATCCTGGAGAACCAGGTATGAACTGATGCAATATATGATAACATATGGGATGTTACTGAATAGTTTAACCCCAGGAACTTTGTAGAGGGTGTTGAGTAGAAAAGCTCACACTCACACTCAGACCAAGCTTCAGAGGTCCCGCTTTTTTTTTTATTGTTTTTGGTAAACTGTAGTTTTAAGGAGAAAATAGTCAGCAATGATTTTGACGGATGAATTTGCACATGGTTTGTCTTAAAGCATATCAAAAACACCACATATAAACAACATTTAAAAACTTGATTTTCACCACAGGGGGTCTTTAAAGCACATTCCTTTATTGGAATACAAATGCAAAGCAGACACTGGCCTTCAAACTGTAGTAAAACTCAGAAGCAGGTGACCACTAGTGGTATGAAGGAGAAATTGTAGGCTTAAATATTACAGTTGCATCCCACAGGTGAGAAAGGATCTCCAGGACCAGTACAAACAACACCTGGAGACCCTGGTGAGCCTGGACTGCCTGGTCCACCTGGTCTACCAGGACCTCCAGGTAAGCAGAGGGGATAACAGACTTGGCAGATGGACAAGTAGACTGAGAACAGGATTCAGAATGGATAACCATGAATCAATGTATGTTTTAGGTAATGATGGTTGTGCTGGGGTTCAAGGATTTCCGGGATTGTGCGGTTTAAAAGGAGAGAAAGGACTGTCAATACCAGGAGTTCCTGGACTTACTGGTCCCAAAGGTTGGAAGAAACTTAAAGAAATAAAATAAGTCAACATAACCAACAAAGTTTGTTTCTGATAAATCTACAAACAGCATTCATTAGTTTCAAATTAGATTAAAAATTATGGTTTTGCGTCCAATTTTCCCTTGGCTGTTTAATGTTGTGGATGGGTGACTTCTAATGATGCCACTCCTCTCTGATTGCAATTTCTTCTCATTGTTGCAGGTGATAAGGGTGTGAAAGGGAAGCCAGGTCAACCTGGTTATGGATGTGTAGGCCGTCCTGGCCCTCCAGGACCACCAGGAATGCCAGGCACGAAGGTCATAGACTTGTTATATAGTGTCCATTTGTATGGACCAGTTTAATCATGTTTTATACTGAGTTTTTGACATTTTTAAAGCTTGACAGTGGTCACTGTATGCTTTTGTTGTACTGAAAAGTAAAAAACAGTCCTCAAAATGAGGGTGACTAAATGAGGACAGAACTTTACATCAAAAGTGTTTGTCATGAAGTTTTCACAATTCTGAAGTAAAATTAGCAAAAAATAATTTAATTGAGACGACGTGAGTACAGTTGTGTTTTTTTAAATCAGAATAAATTTAAATTCCATCCTAATTTAAATTCCATACACAGGGTGAAATAACATTCGGCTCCCCAGGGCCCCAGGGTCGGAAAGGCCTGCCAGGAGATGAAGGGTGTCTTGGGGTACCAGGAATCTCTGGCCCTCCTGGATTATCAGGATGTCGAGGTCAAAGAGGAAGGGATGGACCACCAGGAGACCGTGGTTGGTGGATTCCATGCCAATACATTTAATTACACAAGCACAATTCTTCCCTAAGGAATATGCAATATACACAGCTATACATGCACACAAAATATCTGTCCATCTACAGTATACAGTATAGTCCATCTCTCACCTGCACTGTTCACACAGGTGCACTGGGTCTGGATGGTTTGCCAGGAGAAGTTGGTGTTCCAGGATGTTGTATGCCAGGAGCTAAAGGTGACGAAGGGCCCTCAGGCATCAGAGGACTAGATGGACCCACTGGTAAGAAAATCCAATAATTGTAGATATTAACATTTATAACTAGATATTAAAGTTAAATAATTGATGGCATAGGTCACTATCAAGATACCAGTTTGTACAAATCCCCACAATGGTGTCCACTGTGACATATATTGTCTTTAGGGCTGCAAGGGCTGAAGGGGCCAAAAGGTGAAACTGGATTACCTGGAATGGGTTTACCTGGTATGCAAGGTGTGTTTGGGATACCTGGGAAAATTGGACAGACTGGTTTGGTTGGTATCCGGGGACCAAAAGGTTTCCACGGTCGGGATGGTTCTCCGGGCTTTCCAGGTACTTAACTTCCAAGTTTTTGGAACATGGAGACTGGTCAAACAATTAATAAACAGATTATATTTTCCAAAACACATCAACCAATTGAAGCTTTTTCTAAGTGCTTTGTTTTGTTTCAGGTACACAGGGATGTCAGGGTAGTCCTGGAATGTTTGGTCCACCTGGAGTGGATGGAAATCCTGGACCACCAGGGCTCCCGGGACCTAAAGGTTCAAACATGCACACATACAAATCTAGCAAATATTTTTGTTCAAGGTGCTTTTTTTCTTTTATATTGGTAAAATTAGACATATTTTAATGATGGTTATGGTCTGTCATCAGGTTTAATGGGTAGGAATGGAGTGCCTGGTGACACAGGAAAACCCGGGGAACCAGGAGACCCTGGGACCTGTGGTCCAAAGGGACTGGCATCAAATATTATGTGTCCAGGGGATCCCGGTGACCCTGGCCTACCAGGTGACCCTTTCAACATCTGGTTTCCACTTCTGTTAAATATACAAGCATTTATGTCTATACATTCAGTTTGTCTGTTCCTCGATTCGTTTTCTGTAAGCTCAACCCTGTTGATGGAATTTGCAACACTTCTCAGACATTATATTAAACATCCTCCATTTGTTTTAGGTCTTCTTGGTCTACCTGGCTCTAAAGGGGAATTAGGATTCCCAGGCAACTATGGACAATGTGGGAAGAATGGAGTTCCAGGATTTCCTGGTCCACCAGGTATAGATGCTTAAATCCAAAACCTTGCTGTCCACATTAGAACATAGTCCATATGTACAAACCTTCTTTTTTGCCAGGCCATCCTGGTGACCCTGGCCAGAATGGGCTTCCAGGAAATCGGGGTCTTGATGGAAACTTTGGGGATCCAGGAGTTATGGGGTTTCCAGGCAAGTTCATAAACGCTCGTCAATCTAACCCTTGTTTCAACACCATGATGCTTTAAATGTATTTTCCATAAGCCGTTTCACATATGCAAATGTGTGTGTTTGTCCCACAGGAGTGAAAGGCTTCAAAGGTTTACCTGGTGCTCGTGGGGGGACTGGAACTCCTGGTGTCCTAGGGCCAAATGGACCAAAGGGGATCAAAGGTGAACCCAGCCCCCCTGGGCCAGGGCTTCCAGGACTACCTGGTGAGAAGGTATCAATTTCCATTGTTCAATTCTCATTGTTGAAAAAAAGTGGCTTTTGCCTTTTAAGGCAGGACCCTAACCCAGGACCCACTCCCTTGCTTTCTTTTTCTTATTCTGTAAGGGTGAGCCAGGCTTTCCAGGGTGTAGAGGGGAAAAGGGTGACAAGGGTATATATGGGACAAATGGTCTCCCAGGTTTCTCAGGGGTTCCTGGGGAAAGAGGCGAAACTGGATTACCAGGAGATCCAGGTATTCATTTATACAGTAAAATTTAGTCATTTTAATTCAATACTCATTGAAATATTGTTGAATATATCATTTCCAATATATATATATTCATCCCATCACTTTCTCAAAGACACATGAAGTATTATCCTGTTATCCAATGTCACATTGTTAGGACCTCCAGGAGCTCCTGGTGATGAGGGTTTAGATGGGCTTCCAGGTCCACCTGGATGTGAAGGGCCCTGTGGTCCACCAGGTACGATCCTATTCTAGCATTAAATTATCCCCTTCTGTTAAATGTATTGTAATTTACATATAACACCAAGAATACATATTCTGTAAAACATGATGAAATCACACTACTGGTTTGTTGTTTTTTTCCAGTCATATATCTCTGTTTATTAAGGTGTTCCTGGTTCAGCTGGAGATCCTGGGTCTTCAGGATATCGAGGAGTTCAAGGCAGAGATGGCATTCCAGGATCTGCTGGAGATAAAGGAGATAGAGGGTGTAAGATGTCACACACAAACACACACGTTCACATGAAGGAATATTCTTATCATTCTTTATTTTGTTCTTTTAGGCACTAAGAATGGGGATCCTGGCCCACCTGGCATCAAGGGTGAGAAAGGTAAGTCCACGATTAGAAAGCCTACCCTTCTAACATGCAAAATCTTAATCACTTATCCATGCTAACACTTTATGTGTATGATTAATTTCAGGTATTAAAGGCTGTTGTGGACCCCCAGGGCCATGTGGGCCACCAGGTCCCTGCGGTCCAGCTGGAGTTATTGGTCCTCCGGGCAAACCAGGAGATATGGGGCGACAAGGGTACCCAGGGCCACCTGGTGTCTGTATTAGTGGTCCAAAAGGGGAGCGAGGACCTAATGGATTACCTGGCCCTCCAGGTGATTAGTCATCTTTTATAATTAGTAATGTGCTTTCTTACTATTGATCGTACCAAGGCTTAACATTTCTTTTAAATCCTTTAGCCCATTATACTTGCTACTGACATGAAAGATACCTCAAATTATCAAGCTTGTCGGAGAGAGGTGTGCTCTTGCTTTTCTAAGTGGTCAGACTTACCTGGTGGAGACTTACCCTGAATTTTACCTGGTGGATGATTAAGAAACATAGAGAAAAACAGAGACTTGGGGGTGGTTTATTTTGTAGGTCTAAAGCAATGACATAGCAACCACCTAAAGACCCTAGATACCACAATAACATACTAAAAGCCACTCAAGACACTGGCTACCACCAGCAAAACCCTGGTTTTGTGGTAGTGAGTTTTTATGTGCAGACACCAATCTTTAGGTTTGATATTAATCTAATTGGAAATGTGTCCTGACAATGCATGTAAATAAATAGACTAAATGTAGATTCTTCATGAAAAATGTCATATTTATGGTTCTCGCAACATCTATAGTGCTTAGCAGCCTGCTACTGTTTATTCTCAACCTGCTATTAATTACTGATCACATTCTGTTGTTTCTGTGTATTTTTAAATACAGGTCTCAGAGGACCATGTGGTCCTCCTGGTGACCCCGGTCCAGGCCTAAAGGGAGATAAAGGCAGTGACGGGCCCCAGGGACTTGTGGGGCCACCCGGTTGTGCTGGTGATAGAGGTGTTCTTGGTGAACCAGTAAGTGCTCAACTACAGTAGATCTCCATCAATTTATTGATATATTGTTGGCTTTTATGAAGTTGTTTATATTTAGATCTTTAGATTTAAGTCTGCAGAACCAGGAAGAAATATTCTCTAATAATTACTGTTAGCTGAAGAACCGCCATTTTCAAAATAATTTATAGTTATTATTTAGATTTGAAAATGTGAATCTGTGTTATTTTAGTATTATTTATTTATATACTATTATAGTGTTTTAATATTGTTCATATTTTGAATTAGATTTTATTTTTATATTTTCATTTGTTTCAGTTAGTTGCCGAGGCAATTTCAAGTTCATCTAATATTTATATTTTATTTCAGATTTATTTCAATTATCGATAATAATAATTTTAATAGTTTGACTTTTAGTTTTAGATTTATTTAATAATTAAAGGCCCCCTAAAACCAAAATTTAAGTTTTTTTGCTTTTAGTATGTTAGCCTTACGGTTATGAATAAGCTGGTGTGTTCCAAAACATTGGCATTTAGGAGATATAAGCATTCAAAACGTATAGTCTCTCACTTCTGCTAAAATGGATCGCGGATTTTTATGACACCACCACAGACTTAAGCTTCTCATCACATCTTCTATCCAATCAAATGCTCTTTAGAATCTAACGTATCATCAGCGTTCGGATTCGCTTCCATGGTGCTGTCAAGTACGACTTGTAGTCTGTGAGGTAAACGCTATTGGCTATTTGAAAAGGGGGAGGAGCCATTCAATATGTCCCGCCTTAGCATCCTGTTTCAGTGGAAATCATGTCAAAGCATCATACAAAGCTGCGCATTCCAAGGGCTTTTCAGTGGGCCTTTAAAGCACTGATGTGAATCTGATTCACATAGAATTTATTGTTGAATAAATTGTGGAGTTTGTTTGTTAGACCCAGACCTGGGATAAACTGTACTGTATATTTTCAGGGGAGAGATGGATATCCTGGTTTCAAGGGACTGAAAGGAAATATGGGGCCATTGGGTTGTGTTGGACCAGTTGGTAAGAAATCTTAATTAAATTGGAATTTAATGAAATGTAAATAAATCTTCAATTAATGTAATAAATTGACTGGTAGATAAATATTCATTTTATTTAAAGTTTTTCTATACTTGCATTATAGGCCAAAAAGGAAATTGTGGTCCAATTGGGCTTCCTGGATTAAAAGGTTGTAAAGGACCTCCTGGAATTAAAGGTGATCTTCTATATACTGGCATATTAACATATTAAAATAGAAGCCATTGCAGTTTGTTGTGTCATATACACTCACCTAAAGGATTATTAGGAAGACCATACTAACGCTGTGTTTGACCCCCTTTCGCCTTCAGAACTGCCTTCATTCTACGTGGCATTGATTAAACAAGGTGCTGAAAGCATTCTTTAGAAATGTTGGCCCATATTGATAGGATAGCATCTTGCAGTTGATGAAGATTTGTGGGATGCACATCCAGGGCACGAAGCAGCTCCCGTTCCACCACATCCCAAAGATGCTCTATTGGTTTGAGATCTGGTGACTGTGGGGGCCATTTTAGTACAGTGAACTCATTGTCATGTTCAAGAAACCAATTTAAAATGATTCGAGCTTTGTGACATGGTGCATTTTCCTGCTGGAAGTAGCCATCAGAGGATGGGTACATGGTGGCCATAAAGGGATGGACATGGTCAGAAACAATGCTCAGGTAGGCCGTGGCATTTAAGCGATGCCCAATTGGCACTAAGGGGCCTAAAGTGTGCCAAGAAAACATCCCCCACACCATTACACCACCACCACCAGCCTGCACAGTGGTAACAAGGCATGATGGATCCATGTTCTCATTCTGTTTACGCCAAATTCTGACTCTACCATCTGAATGTCTCAACAAAAATCGAGACTCATCAGACCAGGCAACATTTTTCCAGTCTTCAACTGTCCAATTTTGGTGAGCTCTTGCAAATTGTAGCCTCTTTTTCCTATTTGTAGTGGAGATGAGTGGTACCCGGTGGGGTCTTCTGCTGTTGTAGCCCATCCGCCTCAAGGTTGTGCGTGTTGTGGCTTCACAAAGGCTTTGCTGCATACCTCGGTTGTAACGAGTGGTTATTTCAGTCAAAGTTGCTCTTCTATCAGCTTGAATCAGTCGGCCCATTCTCCTCTGACCTCTAGCATCAACAAGGCATTTTCGCATACTGGATGTTTTTCCCTTTTCACACCATTCTTTGTAAACCCTAGAAATGGTTGTGCGTGAAAATCCCAGTAACTGAGCAGATTGTGAAATACTCAGAGCGGCCCGTCTGGCACCAACAACCATGCCACGCTCAAAATTGCTTAAATCACCTTTCTTTCCCATTCTGACATTCAGTTTGGAGTTCAGGAGATTGTCTTGACCAGGACCACACCCCTAAATGCATTGAAGCAACTGGCATGTGATTGGTTGATTAGATAATTGCATTAATGAGAAATTGAACTGGTGTTCCTAATAATCCTTTAGGTGAGTGTATATATATATATATATATATATATATATATATATATATATTATTTTACGAGCAAATCTGAAAATGTTTCCCCTCTTTTTGTGTAATGATTAATTAGGGCCAAAAGGTTGTGATGCTGTGGGTGAGGTCATCTCTAGCTCCGGTGACCCTGGTTTGCCTGGAAAAGTCGGGGAGAGAGGAGAACCAGGAGAACTTGGACCTAAAGGATTACGAGGTCCAAAAGGTACAACGCCACAAACACAATGATCTAATTTTCTCTGATGTTTAATGAATACATCTTGTATTTGCATAATTCCCCACCTTTTAGGAGCACAAGGTCAGAAGGGATATACAGGTGCAGACGGAGGTGTTGGACCAAAGGGGAGCCCTGGACCGAAGGGCGACACTGGCCCACCAGGACAACAAGGTAAGTCTTAAAAATGGTACGCCTAGAAGTTTGGACTTTTCTATTTGAACTATAGCTAATTGTATTTATAGTAAACTTAGCATAAAATAAATGTATTTCAAATGTATTTTGGGATATATTTATTTTTCACTAGGGTAATATTGTCATGTATCATTTTATGATCAGGATTCTTTGTTGAATAGAAGTTTTAAAAGAACAGCATTTATTTGCAATATTTTTTTTTGTTACATTATAAATGTCTTTACTGTTACTTTCGATCAGTTTATTGCATTCTTGCTGGCTGAAAGTATCCATTAAAAACTTGTTTTAGGTGACATATGTCCAAAATTCCCAGTAAAAAAGTCAAATGCCATCATGTAAAAAAACAAACAAAAAAAACAACCTTGTTTGCCTTTCAAGGTCCTTGTGGTTTGCCAGGCGAAGTGGGTGCCAAGGGCTCACAGGGTCCACCTGGGCGAAAACAAGGAAATGGGAAAAGAGACGGATTTCTTTTTACCAGGCATAGCCAGACAATCAATGTACCAGTTTGTCCTAGTGGGTCAAAACGTCTGTACTCTGGATATTCGCTTCTCTTCATCAACGGCAATAACGGCGGGCACGGACAAGACTTAGGCATGAAACACAGACAGAACATTCATACGACAATTCTCAAACAAATACACATAATGCAAATGGACACATTTAAACAACAAATCTGAGCACAAAAATTCAGATTTTCACAATCTGGTTGCTTGTGTGTTTGTAGGAACTCTGGGAAGCTGTTTGCCAAGGTTTTCCACCATGCCTTTCCTGGTCTGTAATCATAACGACACTTGTCGCTACGCCTCTCGAAATGATTACTCCTATTGGCTGTCTACAGACACGCCGAAGTCTGCAAACGAGGAGTTGATTTTTGGAAATACATTGGCACAGTATATCAGCAGGTAAACACAGCCTGTGTTTCCTCAGTAGTACTTGCATTATTATACCTGTTGTTCTTAATGGCTGAGTCAGTTTGTGTTAAACTTTAAAGGGATACTCCACCGTTTTTTCATATTAAACTCACCATTCTTGGTCGTATTTAAACTGTATTTAAGATAGGGAAAACGTGGAGGTGTTTGGTCGCTTCTCTGTTTGGATCCTAATGAATGAACTGGGCTAAGTTAAGTGCTATCAAAGTGTCTCGCGCGCCAGAGCGATTGAGTGCACGCACTGAGACGAGAGAGGTATGTATCAACTCCTCTTAGTTAAGGGAATAACATAGTTTAATATGAAAAAACGGTGGAGTATCCCTTTAAGACATCTGTGGATAGATAATACGATAATAATATTAATACAAACAGAAGAGTTCAACTGTCTCTCTCTCTCTCCTCCTCAAAGGTGTGCTGTGTGTGAGGCATCAGCTAATGTAATAGCAATTCACAGCCAGACCATTAATATCCCAAAATGTCCAACAGGATGGCTTCCACTATGGCAAGGTTACTCCTTTGCAATGGTAAGAGGCAGACAATTTTTACTAAGTATGGCAGTAAGGACATCATGACATCAAAATCAAAGATTTAGCTCATGTTCATAATCTATCTATCCATCCATCCATCCTAGCAAACGGGGGCAGGTGCAGAAGGTTCCGGACAACCCCTCGTCTCACCTGGATCCTGCCTGGAAGAATTCCGGAAGATTCCATTCCTAGAGTGTCATGGTCGTGGCACCTGTAACTTCTATCCTGATTCCTACAGCTACTGGCTTGCATCACTTGACCCAAGCAGAATGTTCAGGTACACGGATTTAGAAGGTTAACCATTTTTTCTTGAATCCGCTTTAGATGAAATGGGCGATTCTGAAATTTAAAGCATAGTTTTAAAAATACTATTATATTAAGTAAACAACATCAATGAACCTTTACCTTATTTCTTGTTCTTCAGTGTGCCTGTCCAACAGACAGCAAGAGAGAAAGAAATCATCAGCCGCTGTCGGGTCTGTATGAAGCAGTAGCCTTAAGGTCAGAGGTGACCTTGGTATGAGACTTGAACTATGAACTTCCACTTGTCAGTTTTCCATGACTTGTGTAACGTAGGTAGGATCCGTGAAGTCAGCCCTCAAGTGTTTCAGCTGGAAACAACTGGTTATGAGTGAGTTGTCATTATGTTTGCTGTTCCTTGTGAAACAGTCAACGAGTGGAATGATGCACTTATGGGTGGAGCAACTGGTCATTTTTAAACATATTTCACCCAATCGGAACTTTTAAGAATACACTGCACAACTTTTGCTCAGATTTTTGCCCCCATTTGCAGTTTAGATGAGGCGACAATAGTTGTATGATAGGCACAGACTCTGATTTTTTAGCTTCAGACATGATTCCATTTAGTCGGAGGATATCAAAACACGAGCCGATTTTAGAACACTTATCATAGCGTATGCCGCACCGCTACTGAAACCGAAGCTGTCCTCTATCTACCAGTGTTGCAATGCAAATACAATAACAATACAAAAGTGAATTAACAGAACATGCGTAACCAGTTAGCCTCAATATGTGACTCATCAGCACAAATAAAACAAGAATCACCTCTAACTCCCACTTAGTCCATACTGACCACGTCTACCCACCCAAGGCTGCATCCAAAGTTTTTTCTTGCTACAACAGTTGTTTAAACTGTCATGCGTCTAAACAACGAGGCGTGTGTTTGTTGTGTTCAAATGACTTGGAAGTCTGGTAGTGCATGATCCTCATCCGTTTAGAGAATGAAGTCCAGTTTTTCTCTGTAACCATTTACAAAGTCGTCATGTGTATCATCATGCCTAATGTTTTAAAATCTGTTCAGATTTGAAAAGTTGTGTAGTGTATTCCAACCTTTAGTTGATTCTAACTTTTTTAGGAACAAAAAACAAACAAAACAATGGAAGTTCTTTGTATTGGATCTGCTCTATCCGAAATCCAAGGTTAATCCCAGCTAAGGATTCTTCAGCGTTCTGTCCTCTGTGTCCTGTCCAGCACTTATAAATGTGTTTTTCACTCAAATTTACTTATAACTGAGACGGAAAATCAGGATTTTGGGTGACTTCAGTTATGCTACTTCTCATTACTATACAGATTTCATGCTCTAAAGTGTAACTATTTTTCAATTGTAGTTAATTATGAATGACTTTTGTGTGTGGGAATAGCAGCTGTAAGCCATTAGAAAATACTTTTTTCCCCTCCTGGCAAGATTCAAGCATGCATTGAGAAACATGCACTCAATGAATAATAGTTTGAGCTCAGGTTGCTCATATTGAGCATAAACTGTATATTTAATTCAGTATTTAAAACGAATAGAAACAGAATAGGTAATCTACACTTTAGCAATGCTACTGAGAAATAGTTTAGTAATTAAAGTTTAAATACCTACATTTTAATAGTTAACTATTACACATTAATGTCTTCCTGACTAACACTCTATAAACACATATTATCTTCATGTGTTACTAATTTATTAAACAATAATGCGTAGTAAATAATTGTCATTCTTCCAAGCTCCACATTTATTTTATAATATACATCCTTTAAGGAATTGCCTAAATATCTCAAGTATTTTGCATGTGTCTGAAGCAGTGTGTGCAATTTTCAGTGTAAGCAAGGCATGCTTATAATTTCACAATGATTTTCTGACCGCTTTAGTATACAAATACATTGCTATATCTACTTTGCTTTTGGAACTTTATTCAAAGAAAAAAAAATCAAAGTCTGTTTCTTTGAATTTCTCTGAATTGTTTGTGCAAAGCTTATTTGAAATAGCTTTTTGTGCTGAAGTTTTGTTTTGCAAAACATATTTAAGCTTGTTCATATTTAACTCTGAATGACTCAGAGGTAGTGGTGCTATTAGGAAAAGAAACTTGAGAAACGTTGAGAGAAAACGTGTGTATGTGTGTAGTCATTACAGTATGTGAATTCCTGATGACTCATGTTCAATTTAAATGTAAAAGCTTGCCAAATCCATTGAAAAATTATGAGTGTAGTCTTAATATACATAAAATATGAAAACTGCCTTCATTGTATAATCTGCTTTGTTGCAGGTCTGTCGCACTCAGTCGGGTGTATATTTCTTGTCTTTTTCTGTACTGAATGATGGGAAGCTGAATTGGCTGAACGTGTGATTTGTGTGTCCATATGAATCACAAACACTGTGTTTTGCAGTTTCATAATTGCAACTAAAAACATGATTGCACACATTTAGTTTTGAAGTTAATGATCTCTTTTTTTTTTTTTTTTTTTGACTGCAGTGTTTAATAGCTCGAGAACTGTATAATTTAAAATGCTGTAATGGTTTTTGGTCCAAAACAATGTGTATATATTGAATATTTCTGTAGAAAATGTATAGGATCACAATCTCAGTTCCAAGTTTTAATTGGCCTATGACACTTTTTTTGTCCCCTTAATTCAGTCCATAAATAATGATTATTGTGTTTGGATGTGTAGTAACATTGCACTAATTGAATAAATAATCTTTTGGATGAAGATCAATCTTTCAATCTTCCGTGAGCACTTAACCTCATAAAATTTTTTTTTTTTTTTTTTTTTTTTTAATCCTCCCTTGTCTGGCTTATGCTACTCTGAGAAATGCCTGCACTTTGTATTTTAAGCATTTCTTGCGTTGTTTTTGCCTCTCCACAAAGACTCGCTTTAATTTAGTCCTAATTTGTAAGTCGTTTTGGATAAAAGCGTCTGCTAAATGACTAAATGTAAAGATGTAGATCTATCTATCTATCTATCTATCTATCTATCTATCTATCTATCTATCTATCTATCTATCTATCTATCTATCTATCTATCTATCTATCTATCTATCTATCTATCTGTTTTATGTAACCTGGTTTTGAGATTTGTTTGCCTTTTCAGTAAGTCATGACTGCTTAAGGCTGACCACAAGATGTCAGGGCAGAATCTCTTTTTGAATGCCTAGTGCCAATGTTTTTGTGTTACATTTCACTATATGATTTTGAGTTTGGCTTTGAAAAGTATCTATAAACATTTGTTATCAAAATGCACTCGTTTTTGTATTAGGTGGTGATCTCTTAAGGACATCACTTGCAGTAAAGCACTACTGGAATGTCACCTCGCACTCAAAATCACCAGTGCCACCGTTTCTAACTAAATGCTACAATGTGGGACATAAAATGGTCAGAAATCCAAATAAATTCACATTTAAGGCAATCTGTATGAACATTGGATTCATTTAACACAAAATGGCTTCATTCAAGCAAAAGCAACGGTTCTTCTACTGTCTTCTACTTGTTACGTTTGGGCTTTGATTTATATATCACACCTGTCACTTTATCGTTCATCGATGCTTTGAATCTCAAATTCAGAATTCACAAACCATTTAATTCATTCATTTATCTTTTTTCAAAGGGAATGGAATATGTCCTCAACAGCACAAACGCACTTCCTTCTTGTGTTAACACTTCAAGAAAAGACACATTAAACTCTTCACTCAGAATCAATTAAGTTAATAAACCTTTTATCCTTCACTTCTGCCGTGGCGTGCGCTTCAGAGCGAGGGAGACGCAAACCCAGGCATTTCTCTGTTGTATTTGTTTTAGATTAGCTGAACAAACCCAAATCCATTCAGTCTCTAATGCTTTTATTGTAGCTCCCATTGTCAAGTCGCAATTCGTTCATTTGCCTTATCTTAATGAGAGTGTCTCCCATTAGTGTGGGACCAGAAGAATCTTAATGCTTTATGACTTCACAATCCACCATCACCCAGCAACCTGGGCAGCTGTCAGTCAATAATACGAGAGGAGGGAGAGTTTAAAAAGAGCGCTTGGGATTTCCGAGGGTCCAGAACCAGAACCACAGCTCTGAAGAGACACTCTGTAAGCGGAAAACAGAGGTTTGAGATGAGACTGTGTGAGTTGAAGTGTTATTTGGCCCTGTTGGGTCTGTCTCTTGTGCTGTGTGGTCGCAGTGCGGACTCCCATCTAGAACAGGACCTGGACTTCCGCCATCGCAGACTTCTGCAGAGAGCAAAAGCGATTGGACAGGCTACACAGGTGAGTCTCGAAAGCGCATTGACATTGAGTGGCCCAGCTAACAGGGAACGTTATCAGAACTTTCTGCCAAATTTCTCTCAAAATCTTCCGGCATGTTCATTCTAAGTTATCTGGTCTTTAGTAACATTATCAAAACAGCACAAAAATATTATTTATACATTATTCATGGTATGTTTTTCTGTTTTCTGAGAAAATGATACTATGTGTTACTTTTTTTCCAGATGGTGCAGAGAACTTTCAAATGTTACGTTCAATAATACTTGCAAAATGATCAAATAATCTTGTTCAAATAACCAAGAAAAAAAAAAAGATGTTTTTTACGTTCTGAGAACTTAATGGGGGCATTAGCAAAACGTTCCTAGGACATATTTTTTTTACCATCTGTTCAAATGAATTATCTGCATGTTCAGTCCTGCCATCCCACATTCAAATATTTAACTTGCATTATATTCCAATATCAATTTAGACTTTTTTTTCTAAATACACATAAATGGTCATAAATAGCGTAAATAGTTTACCCCCCAAAATTGTGGTTTACTCACTCCAAACCTGTACTGACTGGCTTTCTTCTGCGGAACACTAAGAATATTTTAGCTGTTTTTGTCCATAAAATGCAAGTTAATAGAGATCAAAACATCATTGGAACCCATTGACTTTTTATGGACAAAAAAAACAACAACAACACTAAGGTATTTTTTCAAATATCTTGTGTTCTGCAGAATAAATATATATATATATAAAAACGTAAATAATGACAGTTTCATAGTTCGATTTCTATCCTTTTCAGGACTATTTCAGTTTCAGATTGTTGAAATGTTCAGTTTGTTTAATGTTCTAGTTCATTCTCCTAGATGTTTAAATGGGAAATTACTATATTCTAATTCTATAGGAAGACATCATTACTTCCATTCCCTCTTTCCTTTTCCTACACTCACACACACATCTCTAAATGACCCTCTGTTTTTCTCATTTACATCTTGGCAAGTAAATGCATTATCTTTTACTATACAGGAACTTTGAGTTAATGGAATACATTTAGCTCTAATCAAAAAGCACGTTCCCCTATAAATACAAAATGGCTTTTCTGGGTTTTCTCATACGTTAATCTAAACGAATGCACACCATTAGCTTTACTAGACAGTGTTTATTATCCAAATAAAAGGGAAAGTGAGGGGGGGGAATGAACTTAAATGTTGATCCCATCATATGTTTTCCCAGGACTGGACCAAGAAAGACGTCGAAGAACTCCTTTCCCTGCTCTCCATGCCTGAAATGGAGATGCATGAGAATGATATTTCAACGGTGGACGAAAACGAGGGCCTGCGTGTGGAGCTAGAACGTTCGGCAGAGAGCTCGAACCACATTCCCGCTCGGGAACGTAAAGCGGGATGCAAAAACTTCTACTGGAAGGGCTTCACTTCCTGCTGAGCCCCTCACTTGAAGTTGCCAATTTACTTCTCAAATCTCTTGATAATAACCGCTGTGGTCAAATCACCAGTTAATTGTTTCTGTCAGTCAATCGACTGATAGGAAGTTAATAAAGAATAAAATAAAGAATACAAATAAAAGGGCTTTTTTTGTGGTGGATGATGTGAATATGATGATGAGGTATTATATGCCGTCTTTTCTTTGAACTATTTGTGTAGGGAACATAGCATTAATGATGTGTGTGTGTGTGTGTGTGTGTGAGAGAGAGAGAGTGATGTCAGTGGTGATTAGTGGTAATTAACAGGCATTAAGGATTATTTCATCATTATTCTGTTTATCATGGTGAGAGGCACGACACACCAAAATGACACACCATTCTCTTCTGAATGCTTGTGGACACCGGCTAACAGGGAATGTTCCCACAACTTTCACTAATGTTTTGTAAAGGTTATGTAAATGTTAAGATAAAATGTTCTTCAAATAACATTTAGCCTATAGTGTGTTCTTAGTAATATTATAGCTATGCGATTATGATGTTGTGAGAAATGTTCTTAGAACAACATTTTCAGGACATCCTTATGATGTTATTTGTACTTGATGGTCGTTAATGTTTAACTTCTTGGAATATTACAAATAAACGTTCAAAGAATGGTATATATTGTGAAACAATAACGTTAGGAAAATAACTACATTATATGTTCTTACCACGACAAGATAACCGGATATTTTAACGTTAAACATTAAAAATCACTGTTCCCACAACTTGTTTAGAACATAAATGTGTTAGCTGGGGCCCACCGTTCCGTCATAAGAACCGGACGAGCACGCATGACTGATGGAACATCTTTGAAGAGAACAAATATTCACACGGATCATTTGCAGTTGGTTCTCCAGTTTGCATCTTCATTAGCGTGTTATTGTCTGTGAAAACACACACTGCTCCATGACTCGAGCTCTGTCCCTGAGGCTCGCGCACGAACGCACAGACAGGGTGGAAAAAGCTGTTAGGCAGTTGTAATTGTTATTTAATTATGGTCCTGAAAGGACCGCAAATATTTCAACACATCTGGACTGTTTGATTAGCAAGCCTGAGAAGAGACTTCCGTCATGCATAAACGGCCCTCTGCTGCTGTGTTTACCGAGTAGCCTACACACATTTTCTCAAGTCTGTGTCTTATATACGTCATGCTCATTTAACTTGCATTAGAATAACCATATGGTATGTGCGTATCTGTGTTTATGTGACATTTTCTATACTTGTTTGAGCCAATCAGGAGAAAATAAGTGCAAAAACAAAAGTGCTTCTCAAGAAAAAAATCCTACAGAAATATATCTTCAATTCCTCCTAGTGAGAAATGAGATCAAATGGAAAGCAAATGAGACTTTTAAGTCTCCTGCTTCTCCGATGTTTCTCCTGAGTAAATTACCCCTGTAATCACAATAATGTCTCAAACTGTGCTCAGATGCCATAATCTGCAATCAAAGTTCTGGAATATGAACTCAAATATTCCTCATCAAATTCTACCAGTGTAAACTTATAGCCTATTATATCCTAGTTTTTACTAATATATATATATATATAAATAATTGTAAAATTGTAATAGTTATGATTTTTTAATGGAAAAGGTCTCCAAAACTATAAAAGATCAATAATATTTTCCTCTGTATACTGTAGGAAGGAAAGATTAGCATTTATATCTCTCATGCACACATGCACCCACACAAAGATTTTCCATGTTATTCCCTCATAATTCCCCTCATCCAGCTAAAAACAAAACACAAATATCAGACAATCCTTCTGTTATGAGGAAAACAATAGGCCCAAAACATGAATTGAGTGTATCTTCGCTGTCCACACAGCTCTAGCAAAGCCAGTGACGTGTCAAGCTCTCCAAACAAAAGACTCATCATTTATGACCTTCTGCATGTAAAAATAAATGATGAGAAATAGGCACACAGCCAAAGTCATTCCAATTCATTGCAGTGCAGCTTATATGGTATTTTGTTACTTAACTATTCTTTAATTTCAATCTGGTCAGATGGAGATACACACCCACTGTATCTACAGCTGTCAATCAAACCAATTAGTTGTGCTACATTGAACGTGATGAGTCATCGTGTCAGCTGGTTAATTTCTGCCAAACTGCTGTTGAGCTACCGAAAAAGTAAAAAACGATTTTAAATCTGCTTTTGAGAGACAGTTAAAGAAAACCTCTTTTTTTACTCTCCAGCTCATATGTGTGTTATGAGGACAACATTTGCCAGAAGTTCTAAAATCTAGAAACATGACAAAACCCTATGGAGCGAATTATGTGCCAAAACCTCACACACACACAAAACGTGTTTTACTCACACCCAATGATTCACAAACAAACTCAATGTGGTTTGTAAATACAAAACATCACTCACAAACTAATGCATATTGTTCTGCAAATAAAAAATGTACCTATCAAACAAATACAGTATGTTTTACATATACATAGAAACGTATTTCTTCAATGACAAAAATATCATCCAAGTACAAACTAAAATCTTTCAAGTACAAAACAAAATTCTACAAGTACGAAACAAAAACCTTCATGTACAAAGCAAAATTCTACAAGTACAAAACAAAATTCTACAAGTACAAAACAAAATTCTACAAGTACGAAAAACTGTCACATGACTTTTGACACTATTTTTCCGCGTCCAGGCAGATTTTCTCACAAATGCAGTTGAGCAACTTCCTCTTCTAGAACAGTAGATGGCGCTAAGATAGGGGATCAATTTCGCGCTAGTCTCTCGGGAGAAACACTGATGTGAAACGCGTGCTTGCCTTTGCCAATGGGAAAATGAGCGGTGAACAGGTGTGTTTCTGTCTTACTTTATCTAATTAACCTTATTGAGGTTTTCTTTTGCAAAATGTTTATTACATCTAGACAAAAATCCATATTACCGCTTAGTAGCACTTCACTCTCTCTAGGATAGGGGAATCTAAGCTGAAAGCTCTATCATATGTTGCTTTAAAAAAAAAAAAATCTACATAAGACGCGTGTGAAATTACTAAATTAGTGATTATGTACACTGAACGAATCTATTTCTTTCGTTCTTCATAAATTAATGAGAACATTTAATTTAATTGAAAGGAGGGTTTCATTTGTCTGTCCAAAATAATAATTTGGGCAATACGTCACAGGGAAGTTAAGAAACAATTGTATATTGTTTGTTTTGTTCATTCATTATTTTATTACATTAACAGTTACGCTGACTGAATTCCAACTAAATTAATGAATAAGTGGGACCCTTTCAATTAAATGAAATGTTCTCATTAATTTATGGAGAACGAAAGAAATAGACTCATTCAGTAAATGAAACGTTTTTACAAAAATGTAAAAAGCAACATGATGGCAGAGCTTTCAGTTTATAGATTCCCTTATCCTAGAGTGGAGTGCTACTAAGTGCTAATGTGGATTTCTGTCTATATAATAAACATTTACCAAAACCTCAATAAGGTAAATTATAGATAAAGTAAGAAAGAAACACACCTGTTCACCGCTCATTTTCCCATGGGCAAAGGCAAGCACGCGTTTCACATCAGTGTTTCTTCCGAGAGACTAGCGCGAAATTGATCCCCTATCTTAGCGCATGAAGGTTTTTGTTTCGTACTTGTAGAATTTTGTTTTGTACTTGAAAGATTTTAGTTTGTACTTGGATGATATTTTTGTCATTGAAGAAATACGTTTCTATGTATATGTAAAACATACTGTATTTGTTTGATAGGTACGTTTTTTATTTGCAGAACAATATGCATTAGTTTGTGAGTGATGTTTTGTATTTACAAACCACATTGAGTTTGTTTGTGAATCATTGGGTGTGAGTAAAACACCTTTTGTGTGTGTGTGAGGTTTTGGCACATAATTCGCTCCATAAAAACCTCTTTTGGGAATTAAAATAAGTTGTATTGTGTATTATGCGAAAATAAAATGTGAGTAATATATATATATATATATATATATATATATATATATATATATATATATATATATTATATTATATAGATAGATAGATATATTATATTATATAGATAGATATATTTATTATATTATATAGATAGATATATTATGCCTTTCTCGATATGTTTACTTAATATCCTGACGGCCAGCTAAACTTTTTCCCCACACCAAGACTCTGAAGATTAATTCGTAGTTCGACAGGTTTATTGGAGTTAGAGAAAACTGTGAAACTGCAACACAAAATAGCAAGGACAAATTAGCGTTGCACCAACTTTCATTCAACGTAAACTCCACATGAATAAAGGCTAATTTGCACTATTACCGTTGCATTTCGTTTGTACTCATTTTACATTAATATAAGAGCAGAAATACATGTGAACAACATTCAGGTCATTATAACACATTTAACGTACAACTTATAAACAAATGACACACGCGAGAGCTAGCATTCACATAACAGACTATCACCAGATTACTCTACAACTTAAATTATTGTCAAAAATAATAAATAATAACGCCAGACAATCTCACAAAACAAGATATACATACCAACGATGCTACGCCAGACACAAGAAGTCGACATACGGTTGAAAGGCAGTGTTTTTAACAGACTTGAAACCATAGCGCTTAACACGCGTGTGAAATGCAAGAGTTTTCCTGTAGACTACGGATCACGAGATAGGACATAGAACCATACGAACCATGCATATTTAAAGTGAACATGACTTAAATAGAAACGCATAGGAAATGCACATTAGTGCAATTCTGAAATGCTGATTAAAAGTAAAGCATGTTTATCTTATGCTTATTCACACTTTCTTACTCATAACAAAACAAACAGAGATAGATAAACTGTTTACAGCTCCCAAACAACATAACTTTAATATAAAATGCAGGTATATGTAACGATTCCACTGAAGTGGAGTCCGTTTTTTGAGCCCAAATACAGTTTATTCCATAATAGTGTATCAACAAAGCAATCACTTAGAAATAAACATAAGTTAAATATAAACTTGAGTAGGTAAAGCATGGCATGAACATGAAACTCAGAGCAGGGGACTACAGCATC